ATGTCTATATGATTAATGTTTAAGTTTTTCACAATGAACAATGAATTTTTCCTGAAGTGACATTTGAAGTTTCCAGGAAGAAGATGGGGCCCCATAACAACAACTCCACCTGGTTGATATGACATCATGATACTGATAGCCCTACTACAAGACCTGCTTTGGGTACCAGCTGTACAAGACAGTTCCAACTTGGTTAGCTGAAATGGTGCACATACAACATTTTGGCCAGACCTGCACAAAATACTCAGAGACTATTTGCAACTTTAAAAGACATTGATCTTGAAATTTATCCATCATTTTTACTTTCACAGGATCCCCCAGAAATAACGTTGCCCCCATGACAGCTGGAAGTAATTCTAGAGGACGACATCCCCTCTCCCAGTAAAGTTTGCCCTTGGGTTTAGGGACATCATTTAGGGGTTGATTATAATTAATATACAATTGAGGGTTGGGGGAGGAATTTTATAAGCTCAGGTATCATTTGAAAAAAAAAGAGGGATAATGGGATGATGGGATAATAGATTGGTACTTGTTGGTACTCGTGAGTTATTGTTTTGAGACAAATATATTGGTATCAATTCTTATATATTGATACAATGTGAAATTATATTGACTATTGTATGCATGCATGTTTCTACCTCTGTTTAAAACATTTTTTATGTATTGACATATATTGTATTGATATATATTGTATATATTTACCATATTGCAGTGTACATTTCTACCTCTGATTAAGATACTTATATAATGTTTGTGTATTGATATATAGTTACCATATTGCAATGTATATTTGTACATTGTTTATATTTGGAGGTCATTATCCTCATTTGTTACACAGTTGTTTATTGTCTTAGTCTTTAAGTTAGATAGATATTGAGAATTATATAGATCAATAGTCATTTAAGTTTGTCATTTATAATTAGACTAATCAGGTTCTTTAGATATATAGAGATTATACTCAGTATAGATAGATAATCTTCAACCTCTTCAAAGAGCTGTAGAAAATGGCCTTTAATCTAACTCAGAGTTTTGTGATAGTGAGACACAATTGCTCCTGGCAGCACCAATCTTTTCCCGACAGAATGTTGAACACCAAAGACACTCTACCTGGAGCCTTCCTTTTTGGCTGAACTGGTCTTTGGGCAAAGAAATGCCCATACCTAACCCCAGAAGCACAGACATTAAGAGCAACATTGAATAAATGGGACCTACTAAAACTGAGAAGCTTCTGCAAAGCAAAGGACACTGTCACTAAGACACAAAGGCAACCTACTGACTGGGAGAAGATCTTCACCAACCCCGCAACAGACAAAGGTCTGATCTCCAAAATATATAGAGAACTCAAGAAACTAGACTTTAAAATGCTAATTAACCCAATTAAAAAATGGGGCACTGATCTGAACAGAGAATTCTCAACAGAATAAGTTCAAATGGAAGTAATTCTAGAGGACGACATCCCCTCTCCCAGTAAAGTTTGCCCTTGGGTTTAGGGACATCATTTAGGGGTTGATTATAATTAATATACAATTGAGGGTTGGGGGAGGAATTTTATAAGCTCAGGTATCATTTGAAAAAAAAAGAGGGATAATGGGATGATGGGATAATAGATTGGTACTTGTTGGTACTCGTGAGTTATTGTTTTGAGACAAATATATTGGTATCAATTCTTATATATTGATACAATGTGAAATTATATTGACTATTGTATGCATGCATGTTTCTACCTCTGTTTAAAACATTTTTTATGTATTGACATATATTGTATTGATATATATTGTATATATTTACCATATTGCAGTGTACATTTCTACCTCTGATTAAGATACTTATATAATGTTTGTGTATTGATATATAGTTACCATATTGCAATGTATCCATCAGTTGCTGGATGAAGATTCTATGATAACAATTAAGGTAGTGATCAGTCTGATAACAGGGAAAAACCAGTTTAGGCATCCTCTCCAATGTTACTTCCTGTCTTAGCTCAGGTCATCCTTATGGAATCCTAGGAATTTCCCTAGTGCCATGTTTCTCTCTAGCCCGTTAATGGCTCCCTCAATCAAGATAGCTCTTTCCTTTTTCTCCCTCTCTGTCCTTCCTCGTTCTTGAACATCCTGTTCCCTCATGTTCTGCCCCACTCCTCTGATCCCCTCCCCCTCCACTTTACTTCTCCCACCCACTCCCAATCTTCTCAGGATATATTGTCTGTTTTCCCTTCCACAGGGGATCTATGTATGTCTCTCTTAGGGTTCTCCTCACCAAGGGCCACTTGAGAAAGCTACACAACCAAGCAGATTGACCTTACCACATAGTTGTGGTATCAGCCTCATGCAGCTGGATGCTGTTAATGTACAAATCCCTCCACTTGCTTTTGATCGCTTCTTCATTCACCCCAATGACTAGTAACAGTCTTCACTTTCTAACTCACTCTGTTCATCTTCTTGTTTCTCTGGGTAAAATAAAATACCTGCTTTGCACAAAAGAATTCGAATTTCTACCCGACCATTCACAATATATGTACACCATCTCAAGGATGATTAAGGGGTCTATGTCTTCCTTGTTCATGGGCAACCTCCCTCACAGGTGCCTTTGATCTATGCATGAATAATTACCTAAAATCAATCTTGCATGCACACATACAGACACAGTAACTGAAAGTTTAACATTAAAAACAAATAAAACAGCCCAGTCTCCTGACTCTGTCTCTATCTCTCCTGAGTACCCAGCCTCTCCCTTCTTTTTAATAGTGTGTTCTATACACTATACTTACTGCTTCCAGTTCCTGAACTCCTAGTCATTTCTAAAGCGCAACCTTGCTCCTGTCCATACACGTCTACCACAATTTCTGTTACTGAATGCAGTAAAAACCATGATATTTAGGGTCAGAGGACATTTTTTTTTTATTATTTTCCACTAGGCCTTTCCTGGTAGCTTTTGACAAGTTTTTTCCTCTCTATCTCTTGACCTTTGACTTCCAAATCCTGACTGTTGTTCTCTGCCTCCTTGAAGCTCATTTTTCTTTTTCTCCTGTTCTTAAATATCAAACTTTTCCCCTTCATCCAACTGTATTATCCGCCCTGCATACTCAAACCACCATGGCATGTATGCAAGTCCATAGTCTCAACTCCATGTATATGCTAGAGGCCACCTCTTGAAGGCATGGGGTTCCAGGTCCCTGTGCTGAAGTTCGACTGTGACTATCAAGAGATAGGCACTTAAAGCAGAAGTCACTAGCTTCTGCCCTCATTCTGGTTTTCTTCAAGGGCTCACTGCCTCCGAGAACAGAACTGACATTTCTCTAGCTACACAGATGTTCTTCTCTCTGACATTTCTCAACCTTTGGGTCTTGTCCTGTTCTTCATAAAAGTTGTCTCCGTTCCTTCCTTTTTTGCAGTCTCTGCCTTCTAACTTGTCACCCTGTTTCACATCTGTCTTCTCAGATCCCTCCTTCACATGGCAGACAGAGTTACAGTCCTTTATTTTTCCTTCAGCCACTTCTTCCCTTGTTCTTTCCCTGCCTCTCTTCCCACCTCTCTTTAGATCTTCATTTTGAATTGCAAGTAGAACTAAGAAGATTAGAGGGTAGGGAAAGAAACAGGTGGACAGTTCACGCATATTCCCTGGTGATGTTAGAGAGTTAGGAACTTTTTGTTAAAGAGGGAATTTAAAATCTATGAAATACTTAAAGAGTCAACGTCTCAGAGTTCAGGTGATGGAGGTGCGCCAGTAGGACAATACTGATTGTATCTCAGTAATAAATTATGAGAATTGCAAGTACCAAAAGAAATTTTTCCATGTTAGTAGAGTCATTAAAGGAACATTTTCAATTATGGTCATATCTTTAGTCATCATTTCATTATTTCACGGTGTTCAGTATTTTGGTTTCTTGCTCTCTTTGATGCTAAAATATATTTTCTATCCTTAATAGCAGCAAAGGGAGTTAAGAGGAACATGGAGAACTGTTTTTGAAACATCATAAGCCGCCAAATAGATGACAAATAGGGTAGTCATTGCTATCAAGCCCAATTCCTGTTGAAGGAGCTGCAGGCAGGCCCGCTTCCTGCCACCCAGCTCCTGGCCGCCTGGCTAGCTTATGCCCCAAAATAATGAAATACAAACTGTATTCATATAAACACTGCTTGGCCCATTTCTATTAATGTGTGTATCACCACGAGGTGCGCTTACCAGGAAGATTCTAGCCTATGTCCATCCTGGGTCCGAGCTTCATCACGTCTGCCCCAGAGAGGAGAGGAAATAGCATCTGTCTAAGGCGTCTTACCTCACCTCCTCTTCCTTCAAGCATTCTGTTCTGTTTACTCCACCCACCTAAGGGCTGGCCTATTAAATGGGCCAAGGCAGTTTCTTTATTAACCAATGACCTTCCTCCATCAAATTCCTATTTTTTTAAAAAAAAAAATGTGTTCTAGTTGCTTCCTCTTTGCATTTCTTGTCAGAATGCAAGCACAGCACATGCAGGGAAAAGGGAAAATGGAGCTTTCTCTTTCACTAGCATTTCCTTTAAGAGGATATAGTTTCTTCACATTTTAGATTTGGCTGAAGAATAACACTGAAACTTCAGCTCTGTAGAGAAACGTTGATCCGATAGTCATGTAAAGCTTTTAAAATATGACCCATATAACATATCAATACTAGACCACTTATTATTATAATCTGATTTCAAGGAAGAGAGTGCTTATATTTTAACAGTAATATTATAATTGCATTCCTTTGACTAGTATGTGATGTGTGATGAATGGAATTGGTATTAAAGATTTGAAATATTCAGTTGATGAGAACAATATAAACATGAATAATAATGAGGAAATTGGATAGTGAGACCTGTGTTGCATGATTTACATTTTATTCCTAAATGAAATCATTATAAGCAAAATGTTTTCAAATCTCAAAGAATATTTGGGAATTGTGAAGTTAGCACTCTAAAGATAGAAAAATAAAAAGACCTAACAGTTTTTTCTGTTACTTGTTCTGGTCTTCAGGTCTCCATTATGACAGTGCCAGCAGAAGAACCAGGAAGTTTTGCTGTTCGGGTCATTGAGTTATGCTCTTCAACGATGACATGCATGAAAGGCACATGTAAGCCCAGGACTATTTCTCTCTCTCTAAATTCTCCTGTTAATACTTTTTACTGATCTGTAAGACTGAAATGCATATTAGATAATATACTGTTTTGGTAATTTATACATTGTACAATGTATTATTTAATGTTGGTAAAGGTCTTTACAGAAAGTTCTGTCATCTGTAAGAAGTCACTATTTTTCCAATGTGGACACCTTTTATTACCTTGTCTAGATTGTTCTAGTTGGTACTTCTTACAATAGAATGAATAGAAGCAATGAATATGGATATACCTATCTCTTTAAAAATTTGCCTCTCCCCCTTTTATCATACTAGGAAATGAACATACAGCCTCATGTATTTCAGGTGATCTAGAACTAAGGCACAACTTCAGCCTTTAATTGTTCATTGTTGAATTTAACACAGACAATTTCTTTGCCTGTTTGCAGAAAATGAACATCAAGAGTGATAACAGCATGAAATAATAGGACCTGCCATTAATCCTAATAGTGATATTTTTTCGGTGCTAACGTTTACCCAGTGCCCTAGGTTGAAGTGGGTTTCCCTTCTCTGTTTCACTTCCTTTAGGTAGGTGCAAGTTCAAGTTTCTAGAAACATAGAAAAGCAGCACCACCGCCTAGGAAGCAAGTGTTCAATACACAGAACTTTGGCAAACACTTCACGTCCAAACTAAAACAATACATAATTCAGTTAACCCTCTGGGATATTTATTTCTAGATCACTGAGATGTAGAAACATTTTACATAATCATCACATTTGACTCTTTTTTCCTTTGTATTTTTTTCCTGTGTATTTCAAGAAATACAAAGAGGGAAAATGTGACATTTGTCTTTCTGTGTTACCTCACTCAATATAATCTTTCCTAGTTCCATCCATTTATATGCAAGTTCATGCTTTCATTTTTCTTTTATTTGAATAGTATTTCATAGTGTTTATGTACCACACTTTTATTCTCAGTTGAAGGACATTTAGGTTTTTTTGCATTTTCTAGAATAGAAACAGCAATGAACTTGGTTAAGCAAGTATCTCCAGCGTAGTATGTAGCATCCTGTAGACATATGTAAAGAAGTGTTATTGGTGGATCACGTGATTTTATTTATAGCCTTTTGGGGCATCTACATATTGATTTGCACAGCGGCTGCACTGCTTTCCCATCCCACCAGCAGTGAACAAGAGTTTCTTTTTCCTGCATCCCTTCTTCATATGTTTTCAGTTGCTCTCTTGATCTTTGCTATTCATACCATGGTGAGACAAAAATCTCAAAGCTGTTTTGATTTGCATCTTTCTAATTGCTATGGACAGTGAACATTTTCTGAGATATTTCTTAGTCATTTTTTTCTTCTTTTGAAAACACTGTCTAGGTGCAAAGCCCAACTCTGGGATTTGAGTTCTTTATATTCTGGATATTAATTGTCTGCCAGATAAAGAGTTGGCAAAGATTCTCTCCCAGTTTGTGAGCTCCAGAATGTTTATAAAGCATGTAATAGTATGTCTATGAATAACAAAGTATTGTTGTATATAGTAAATGTCAAATGCTGTTGATACGTTACAAATACATTGGATTATGGAGTCTATGTGTAACGAAACATTATACATTTTAATTTTAAAAAATCATATGTTTTTTCCCTTCCCTGGCTCCTTACAAATAAATCCCACATCCCTGTCCATCCAACTTCATATTCTTTCTCTCCTTTTATTTTTTTTTTTTTTTGGTTTTTTTTTTTTGTTTTTGTTTTTGTTTTTTGAGACAGGGTTTCTCTGTGGCTTTGGAGCCTGTCCTGGAACTAGCTCTGTAGACCAGGCTGGTCTCGAACTCACAGAGATCCTCCAGCCTCTGCCTCCCGAGTGCTGGGATTAAAGGCGTGCGCCACCATCGCCTGGCCTCTTTCTCTCCTTTTAACAACAACACAAAAAAACCCACAGTAAATCAAAAAAAATAATAATAATAAAAATGACTAATAAGACAAAAAAATCTCAAATAATATAAAAAGAAAAAGTCCGTTTTGTATTGACCAGCTACTCTTGGGCATAGTGCCTGCCCTTGAGTGAGGTTGCTAAACCCAGTTAGACTCTATTGGAGAAAACTTATTCCCCTTTCCTATAAGGTATTAGCTTCTTAGTTAGGGGTGGAACTTAGAATCCACTTCCCCTTCTTAGTGCTGGAATTTTTGTCTAGCTTGAATATATGCAGGTCTCTGTGTGCTCCCAAAGTCTATGTGAGTTCATATGTACATCATTCCTATTATATCTGAAAGACACTGTTTCCTACGAGTCATCCATCACTTCTGATGTCTACCCTGTCTTCTCTTCTACATAGATCCCTTAGCCTTACAGAGAAGGATTTGATGAAGACCTCCCATTTAGGACTGAGTGTTCCAAAGTCCCTCACTTTCTGTCCATTTTCTAGTTGTGGGTCTCTTTTTTTTTTTTTCTTGGTTTTTCGAGACAGGGTTTCTCTGTGGTTTTGGAGCCTGTCCTGGAACTAGCTCTTGTAGACCAGGCTGGTCTCGAACTCACAAAGATCCGCCTGCCTCTGCCTCCCAAGTGCTGGGATTAAAGGCGTGCGCCACCACCACCCGGCTTTAGTTGTGGGTCTCTTACTAACCATCTACTTCAATAAGAAGATTCTCAGATAAGGGTTGAAGTATATGCCGATATATGGGTATATCAGGATGCTACTATGAGTTATTTTATTGTTATGTTTCTTTCAGAGAATAATGGTAATAGATTTTCCCCCAGCACCATAACCAATTTAGTTTCAGATTCTTGGTCTCTTTTTAACAGTGTCTGGTATGGTTTCCATTTCATGAAGTGGATCTCAAATCCAATCAAAAAGTTGTTGCTCTTTCTCCTAACATTTGTGCCACTATAGCATTAGTACATCTTGTAGTCAGCTCTCTTTTGTAGAGCACAGGGTTTGTAGATGGGTGATTATTTTTCTCTTCTGGTATTCTACGGAGTACCTTCTAGCATGAAGAAACTAGACATCAACAAAATTCAATTCAAAAATTAGGTACAGATCTAAACAGGGAATTTTCAATGGAAGAATCATAAATGGTCAAGAAACACCTAAAGAAATTGTCAACATCCTTAGCTATCAGGGAAATGCAAATCAAAACAACTCTAAGATTCCATCTTACATATGTCGGAATGACTAAGATCAAAAACAAAATTGACGGCTCATGCTGGAGAGGATATGGAGCAATTGCTGTTGGGAGTGCAAACGTGTACAGCCATTTTGGAAATCAGTATGGTGGCTTCTCAGAAAATTGAGTCTGTCTACCTCAAGACCCAGCTATACTATTCCTGAGCATATACCCAAAGAATGTTCTACCATACCACATGGACACATGCTCAGCTATGTTCATAGCAGCTTTATTCATAATAAACAGAAGCTAGAAATAAACTAGATGTCCATCAACTGAAGAATGGATAAAGAAAATGTGGTACATTTACACAGTGGAGTATTACTCAGCTATTAAAAACAATAACATGATGGAGTTTGCAGGCAAATGGGTGGAACTAGAAAAGGTCATCCTGTATGAGGTAACCCAGATCCAGAAAGACAAACATCCACTCATAGGTGGATAGGTATTGGCCATAAACGATAACCATGTAGTCCACAGACCCAAAGAAGCCATAAACATGAATGGCTCAAGAGGGGACATATTAATCTCAGTGCAAAGGGGTATAGAGTAGACAATGGTTTAGATTTTTAATCTGTTATGTCTTGTCTCTTCACTAGAAGTTTCTGCTATCTAAAGTTTTATTTATTTAAAGTGTTTAGTTTATCTGTAGATGTGTGTGTGTGTGTGTGTGTGTGTGTGTGTAGTGCTAGGAATGCATATGCTAAACAGTTGATCTAACCTTGTAGACCTTGGGAAATTCTAAGTCTTCCTTAGAAATTATCTTAAATGATTTTGAAAGAAATCAAGTGGCAGGAGCCTCCAGGATTTGCGTGTAGGGAAGAAGCAACTAGTCACATAGACATTTTCAATAATGTATGAAAACATTTTAAACAAACTGGCCAAGATCTTTTTGATTCAGAAGCCCTTCCTTTCTTACTTGTTTCTACCTTGATAAAATTCTCTGGTCTTCGCTGTAACTTAATCATTTCATATCAATATAATAGCAGCAATGTGTACAAATACACTAGCTGGTTTTCCCTTGTTTCTAGCCTGAAAGAGGTACTCTTGAGTTCATTAATGATACTTTGCCTTATCACAGAGAAAAGGAAGCTCTTGATTATTTTTCAATCTGTTTTTCATTCATTATGCAGTATGTGTTATTTTATAAGTTAATAGTGAGACTTAAAGTTTGTTATAATACGTAGCAAAATTTAAGAAAGATACCATATTTGTTATTTCCTTACTTTGTGACTTAATTAGAATTTTGCTTCTGCCTTTCCTTATGCTTTAAGCCTCTTCACAGACTTTCAGGAGCCATTTTAACTCAGACATTGAAAGTTTTTAATAGCACATTTTCCTGTTGCTCCCTAATTTAAGAGTCATTGATGTCATATTTAGTTTCAAATTGTTCTGTTCTTCATCTGTCTTCTAAAATAGAATTGTCTGATAATATCACAGAAGACTTCCATGTCCTATTCCTGTTGCCTTCATTTTCATTTTGTCTTTTTCTATTTCAAGTCAGGAAAAAAAAAACAGGCAAATATGCCGTGTTTTTATTTTGTGTGTCCAAACCTGCTCCTACTTCATTTATTTTTCTCATTTGATGTTCCCTGATGATAAACATAATACTTTATTCAGAATGTTACACTAGCTTTTAAACTACTGCTCTGTCTCTTTTGAGGACTTTATTTTTTTTTCCTGAAGCTTTGAATAAAGCACATTGTGGACACAATAGAACATGTTCTTAAAATCTGCTTAATTGTCTCCTCACAGTCTTATTCAGAAACAATTTAATCCTTTCTCTCGTCAAGCAGAGAGAAATGGTAAACTACTATGTGGTATGGTAAGATCCCACATTTTGGATTCTCC